CACTCATCACTTAATATGTAATTGTAATATTCCATGATATTAATGTCGTGGTCACAATCTAGCTAACATTAGTTGAATTAGCATACGCTGTAATTTACTTTCTATTAAAATTAATTAAATTTCAAAGAAAGAATTTTACAAAATTTTAGGAAAAAATAAAAATAAATTTCAAATTTAATGAGTTTTAACAGAAAATAAATTACAGCGTGCGGTAATTCAACTAATGTTAGCTAAATTGTGACCACAACATTAATATCATGGAATATTGCATTTACATATTAAGTGATGAGTGAGACTCAATGCAGTATAAGGGTTTTAGAAAATCAAGAAATCTGATGATGGCCGGTTGGGGACGAAACATCCTGCAAAAGGGAAAGTGAAAGGGAAAGAACAGAATAGTCGCATTGTTGACGGAACTGTATTATTAATCACTAATTTAATTTATTTTATATTTGTGTCTGTTTGCAGGATTGTAAAATATCATCACTTTTCTCTAATTTCACTTTGAAATGACATTACATTTCAGGTCTAAAGAAAGGCAGGTTTAAAGTAACGAATACCTGTCGAGACAGACGATGTCGAGTTAAAAACAAATTTGAACAAAGAAAGGGTCCTGAATAGATTCCAGACTCTTAAAGACTGATACTCAGGATGAAATTATTACGTTACTGTGCGATAAGGAATTAGTTTTATTGCTTTATTAAGTATCACGTTTCTCTAATAAGACTGCAGGGAACTGTTGACTCTGTTAAGCTCCTCTTAGGATGGCGAAGAATTCCTAACTTTAAGATTAGAAGAAAGAATATAAGAGGGAATGAATTCTAATTTATTTTAAATTCTTATGTTTATAAAAGTTACGCCGTTAAAGCTACGAAAGAAAGTTTAAACTGCTAGGCTGACATTTCGGTGGTTAGCCGGTTGGGTGAGCTCGAGTGAATGAGGTCAAGAGTTTTCAGTTTTGTTGGCCGTTTTGTTTTCCGGGGCAGAACTACAAAAAGAAACTTTCATAAAATGTATAAAACGGGAGTCAAATTGATAACGTTATAAAAAGGAATTCATATTTAGATACTGTCAACGTCATTGCTACAATAACAAATATGATCACTGAAGAAATTACGCTGATATAAATATCAGGTAAAAAATGAAAGAATATTGTGTCATTATATTACAGCAGAAATGGAAGGCGATTAATCCAAATCGAACTACTTTTAAATTGTATTTGAATAAACAAAGCTCGTTCACTTCGATACAGATGATCTGTTCAAACAAGCAACGACCCATGGCTTTATTTGTTTATCTTCCTATGTTTGGTTTTAATGACGAAGGTTACTTAACAGTAAATGAAAGAAAGCCATTCTTCATTTCTGCTCCCTAATGCAATGTTCGTTTCATCTTGATTTACTCGTAGGAAGTATTACACCAAAAAATTATATAAAGTAATTCTGATAATAATTATTTTATAACTTTTATAATATTTAGATAAACCACAATTAGACCAGACAATTGTATTATCTGTTTGGGGCATTTGGGGCACGCGGTAGCGTAGTTGATTGAGATACTATGCTACAAGCTGGAATGCAGCGGGTTGGAGTCCGGATGAGGTGGATTTTTTCTTCAATTAACCTAATCTACCTAGCCGCACTATGGCCCTGGGTTCGACTCAGTCTATAACAGAAATGAGTACCAGGAATTTTTCTGGTGGGTAAAGGGCGGCCGGCGCGTAAGGCTGACAAATTTACTGCCATCTATGAGCCGACTCTCTACAAGATGTGGGAGCCTCGACCTCTCACACCATTATGGGCCTTAACGGCCTGTTACAGGGATAGCTTTACCTTTACTTGTATTATTTTCATTACCTTATGCACGTTTAAGGGTGGACATGTACCACTTTTAAGTAAAATTTCACCAATCTCAAGAATACCGCCGCAGTTTTCTTTAACATGCGAAATGAAGAGATGAACTCTTGGAACCTGCAGACGGAAATATATAATATTGCAAAATTATAGTCCAGTTACGTGTAATGCAGAGAGACGTTAGTCATGGATCTGAGTCACTTTTATTCACAACCTAAAAATACTTACACAAGAATAATCGCAATGTCTCCATACCTCATTGTAGCTCTCACAAGTAACTCCCCATTGGAATTTTTGTGCAAAATTTGGCAAGTTTTCAAGAAAGATTTACATCACACTTTTGCATCTTTTCTCATTCTAGTTTCCTGTCAAGTTGAGCCTTATTTTGTATAACATTTCCTGACACTTCATAACAACATTTCCACAAAAACTACTACTTTTTTGTTTCTTTCTACATTTCATGAGGGGTGTGTAATAGGACACGTTAGAAGGGACGTGTTTATAGCGGGCAAATAAGAGATGAAATTCGTACAAGCTGTCTGGACATAAAATACTTTCTGCTGGGTTATAATTATGTGTTGTCCGGTAGTTGTTCACCTTCTTCCCCTAGGAATATAATACATAATCATGCGTCGAAGATGGGGCAGTACTTTTCTCAGAAACGTCTGATCGCTTCTACCAAACTGCATGGCATTACATGCTAGAAGTTGACACTTTTCAGCATGTATTTGCAGTGTATATTTTCGAAATATTTACACTATGAATTAAATGAAATTTTATGATTTATATATTAACGCATATTCAGTAATTCAACAAAGTAATTATAAAGGTTAATATTTGTGTAGTTATAGTGTGCGGCTTGACCATAAGTGTACGGTTTTATTCGTAAAGATATGAGTAAACATGCCGTTACCCTGAACAGGCGGCATTTCAGTTGCCATTTCTATCTCAGTGCTTTCACTTTCATAGAATGAATATGCGTCTTGAGAAAACTTCGAACTTAATATCTTTATTTTTAAAGTTTCTTGGGGTGGCGTGAGACTGAGTCCACTTGGTACGTCGGCCACTAATTGGACTATTGTGCCAGCCCCGGATGATGATGATGATGGTGGTGGTGAAATGAGAATTGGCAGGGGAGACCGAAGTTCTCGGAGAAAACCTGCCCCAGCGCCACTTCCTCCATCACACATTCCACATGACCCGACTTGGGATTGAACCCCGGCCGCCGCGGTAGGAAGCCGGCGACTAACCGTCTGAGCTGTGGCACTGCCATCTGATATCTTAAGACAGGCGTTTGGTAATAGTTGAATATTTTGATGGCTACTTACTTTAAGAAGGCTGTGAGTGTTTAGTCCATAGCTACAGAACGTTTTCCAACCGAAAGTTGTAGCTCAGGGGCCACATAATCTGCATGGATGTTCGGAATGTACCGTACTAAGTTACAGTGTGTGTGTGCAGGGTTTCGACTGAGTTTTCTGTATTTTCCTCAGTCGTCAATAAAATGAAATGAAGTAAGCCAGAGCGGCCAAACTTCGTCCTTCATTACCTGGGTTCACCTTAACTACTTTCTACTACGTTCTCAGTCTCTCTGCAATTTCCCGCCAATTTCGCTATCCACGTCGTCATAATTTCTGTCTCCCCACCCATCCAACTGATTCGAACGTATTTGGGAGATTCCGCTGTAAGGTATCTGCTGTGTATTCTGTAATTGTCGCAGAAGAAATTAAGTCCACTACTTCTACACACATTAAGTGTATTGCATTATAATGCGACTTAGAACAAAATTTATTCTTTAAAAATTACAGTGATGTTCTTTATTATATCTATAATTCTTAAGAAGCGTCTTCGCTTCGGTTTGGATTTCCATTTTTTACATACACAATTCCCTTCTCTATACATTCATCTTCTCATATTATCTTAAGATTATCCGATCTTCGCAACTTCGTATTCAATTCGTTCACTCTCCTTTCCGCTTGCGTTCCTTTCTACCTCTGTCTCTGGTGTCTCATTTTCCTTCGGTTTTTGTTGCTGAGTTGTTCTTAACCATTTCCACCTTACCTTTTCGGTCTTTCCGGTCTCATAGCTTACTGCTTTCCCGCCAGACTTATTTCTCTCTTCCGACCCCAAGTCTCGTGTGTGCCTCTAGAAGAAAGCTAACTAATGATGTCCCTTTTATTTCTCCCGAACAAAGCCCAATCCTCAATCTTGACGTCAAAATTTGAAAGGAAGATGCGGTTGCTGACTCAAAGACCATTGATCTCCATCAAATCTCTCTTCATGGAAGAAGGAAGCACAGATATTAATTACTAAGCGGGCGTCTTCAGAAGGATATTATCATATCTTTGTTCAGATGAAGTAGGGAGAAAGTTTAATGCATTGCGTTTGAAGTTTCTCACTATATAAAACATAAAAGCATCTTGGTAAACCATATCGAAATGAATATTTGTTTGTGTCTGTTTGTCAACAGTCCCTCCGTAATGAACCAGTGCCATATTTATCTAGTCTAACGGAGCTTTCGAACAATGCAGTAGTGATCACGTGAGATGATTACGGCATGAGTTTTGCCTGCTATAAAATTGTTTTCTGATATCAAGTTCTTTATTGATGACTTCATATCCGGCACCTTCCAGTAAACTTTCCTATCACACTGTATAGGTTGGTGCATATACAGCGTACGTGTTACTGGGGCTTGGTGTCTTGTGATAATAGAGATTGTTTAACTATAAACATTCCATTTGGTACCAGAATTTATTCATATGTGCCCATCATTCACCGTCTTACGTGCAACATTACGTTCCACAAACTTTGTCACATTTACAAGTTTAAAGTTTTAAAATATAATTCATGTTTCGGCCAACATGGCCATCATTAGTTGTTAAAATATGTGTAATGAGGAAATCGTTCTTTCACTTGTTGCTGATGCATATGCAGGTCCATCTGATCGCGATGCTTCTCGTAATTTCCTTCATCCTTCCGTTAATTCCTCTTTCTTACATCCAAACATTCCCCTAAGGACTCCATCCTTAAACATCCTCGTTTCAACTGAGTTGATAGTAAAATGTACTAAATATCTGAAGAGGCCATTACGGTGTGGCAACAGATCACAGACTGGCCGCAGAAGATTACAAGTTGTGTATTTGTTTGCAGTTGTCCGTGTCAAACGAGAGTGTTGTGGTACTGCGGAAGGTTGGATTTAACTTGTCTGGTAACTTCAGCTGCGAAGTGACAGTGGAAGCCCCATCCTTCTCTACGGCCACGGTCTATCAGCAAATGTTGGTTGTCTGTAAGTAGTACCACCCTCTTGCTCTGTACATTCATTATATAACCTAAACCGTATACGGGCTATGCAGCAGTTGATGTTTTGCAGCTTGACGTGATTTTCCGTAAGGAAACCGAATTCATAGTAATTTGCAAGCAACTATAGTCGTACGCAATATAAAAGTGTGTTTGACGTGACAATTTATGTAAATACCAACTAAATGATTTTCGTTATTAAGCATAATCGGAATTCCAGAGAAATCTCGTTAGAATTTTCTGTAATGGAAGTGAGAAGGGTTCATTCGTATGTAATCTTGTTACTGCAGCCCGCTTAATCTTCATTAATCTGTTCTCTTCCATATTTACGTAAATGATATTGTTGAATTGCCGACCACAGTAGCCGCGCGGTCTGCGGTATGGTATGTCTTCGTCCGCTCGAACACTGGGGTCGTGGGTTTGAATCCCACTCAAGGCATGAATGTCTTTATAGATACATAGATAGATAGTTAGATAGATAGATAGATAGATAGATAGATAGATAGGTAGATAGGGTTCGATTATAGATAGTGTAGCGTGTTTTGTGTGCACGCCATAATTAAATTCACGTAGGTCTCAAATTCCGTAGAACCCTTTATTGGACACTTATACAACCACAGTAATCGTTTATTACTGTTTATTGGTAGAGTGACCTGTCAAATCGGGGAGATTCTGTTTTGTGTTCTTGAGAACGTATGTACTGCTATGACTTTGAAGCAGGCCTTTCTTACTTTTTCTTCACAAACCCTTTATCACGGTTTAGTTGTCACGGAAAGCGTTAAGTTTGCGTATTATTGCAAATGGTAAAGGAAATTTCGAAGTCGCTATATGTCAGGCGAGAATTTTAGCTGAGTGAAGTACGTAATGAGCCGGTTACGGTAGCCGAGCGGTCTAAGGCATGCACTGTCTTCGCTCGCTCGGAAGCCGGGATCGTGGGTTTGAATCCCACTCAAGGCATGGATTTTTGTGTGCGTTTTTCTGTGTTTGTGTACAGGTAGAGGCCTTGCGACGATCTGATCACCCGCCCAAGGAGTCCTACCGAACGTGTAAGATCTAAAGAAACCGAAGTGAACGGAGAAGTTCATAGAGGTAGGCCTAGGGCCACTGGGGCTGTAGTGCCAAGGGAAAAAAAAACTACGTAATGATCGCATATTTCTGGATCTTTCATTTTGCACATTATATTTATCATCATGTTTTAAAATACCTGTTATTGAAACTTTATCTTAGATAATGAGGTGACTTTGATCTTCACAGCCGGTATGCTCCAGTTTGTTGGTTACATAACTGATAACTGAAATTCATAGAGTAAGAAACTTTCTTAGAATTAATACTAATTTAAGTCACAATTGAAACTTTCTGACGCCTTCTTCAATCATACCAACTGCCTTAGCAACACAGATCCATGATATGTGTGATCAAATGTTACATTTTCATGAATTTTTAAATTCTGATTTGGTTACATTGAACAATACAAGATGTATCTACTTCAACTTTGTCCTGGTCAGAATCATAATATCACCATCGCTATAACAGATGTGCCGCAGGAACGTTGGCAAAGGGTCACAATGCAAGAGCATCCTAATGACAGGATGAAGTGTCTGTATGCCACTTTTTTATCTGTGATCTATTTGCATGCCTTCTCTTATCAGCGCAACATTAGAGCTGTTTTTCTAACTCACTGCCCTGCTAACTTAAGCGGCAAAACAAAGCTCATTTGTGATTGTAAATCACCTCGTGTAAGTTATATTGTGAATTTTCTTACGGACCGCTGCCTTGTGATACTTGATAACCACACTGTTTCTGCTATACTGCGGTAATACGACTGCAAAACATTGAAATAAGCCAAATGACCTGGTCTCTTGAGAAAATGCTTTAGAGGAAACAAATCATAACAAAATAGGTTACAATGGCGAACATTCTCTGTTGAGACTGCAGACACGGATGTTTCGGGGCTATATTCCCCTACCAGCTTGCAGTTTATATGGATGCAAGAAGTGCCTGCACTGTTACATCGGAAAATGCATGTGGATATTGTCTGTGGCCTGCTGTTGCTTTTCTCTCTGCTGGGCTTAGTCTTAGACAGTGTTCCTACGAATCGTCAGGTCGTTACCAAACTACACGGCGTTAAAATTCAGAAGACCATAGTGTGAGTATTTACTACTGTGAGAATCTCAAATCCAATACATTTTCAGCTGTACGTAATTATGAATATGAATTAGCACTTATTTTGGCCAGTAACTTATGACTGTGGTCTTACAATCTTGCTTACGTACGGAAATGCTTTTCAACAACAGTGGATACTTCGTTAAAGTAAAGGTTATATCGATCACAGTGGCCGCGCGGTCTAAGGCATCAATTATTTTCGCTTGCTCGAACGCTAGGATCGTGGGTTCGAATCTCACTCGAGGCATGGATGTCTGACTATTTTTATTCTATGTTTGTTTTGTTCTGTGTGTAGGTAGCGGCCTTGCGACTGGCTGATCCCCCGTCCAAAGGAGTCCTACTGGCTGTGTATAGGATTAAGAAACTGAAAAAGCGGCTAAGGTCCAACAAAGGGTTGTAGAGCCATAGATACTTGTAGATAGATAAACAGATACATAGACAGACAGACAGACAGACAGACAGACAGATAGATAGATAGACAGACAACGCTTTTTTCTGAAGCTTATTATTAGTATAATTTTATTTTACTCTCGTGAATAAATTACCAGTTAGAGTACGATGAAAACATTGTATATAAAGCATTCCGTCCATCATTAGCAAAACGCTGACGATTTTGGTCTGTTCTATAATTTACCAAAAATTCTCCGACAACACCAGCAATGTGGACTAGACAGTACTAATGAAGTCTTCTGAATCGGTATGTACCACGCAACGTGGAAGGGCCAGAATTACTATACATAATTTGGATTATTATTGTTATTATCATCATCATCATCATCATCATCATCATCATTATTGTTATTATTAGTCATAATGTACGTTCTTGTATCTACTCTGTGCTGCATCTATAATTGGCCGTGTAGCTGTTAACTCAGCACACAAATAATTATGAATTGAATTGAATTACTAGGGAGCATGCGGTAGCGTATTTGATTGAGGCTCTACTCTACAAACCGTAAGGTCGCGAGTTTGATTCCTGTTGGAGCCAATGGATATTTAAGTTGATCTAATTCTTTCTGCCAGCCGTACTACGGTCCTGAGTCCATAGAGCCTCTAATAGAAATGAGTACCAGGAATCTTCCTGGGGTCATAGGCGGCCGGCGCGTAAGGCTGATAACCTCACTGCCATCTGTGAGCCGATTGTCCGGAAAATGTTGGAGCCTCGACGTCTCACAACTCTGTGGATGTTCACAGATTATTACAGGGGTATCTCTACTTCTTTACTCTTTATTGTTGTCACGTATAAAGGTGTGACTATTAGACGGTGTTCTGATGGATGATCGGATTTATTGACACCTTATACACACCACTTGCGACTACAAGTAATCACAGCGGTACAGCTAAACTTTACACCTTACAATTCACTGTTACACTAACTAGTGTCCTCAGTTTAATATATTCTCTACTCTCTGTTTCCTGGCAATGGATTTTAATAAATGAACTATAAGAGTCTTATTGAATTACTCCAAATATCACGATACTATATCACATATAAAGTCTTCTCTTCACAGTTAGACTTTCAGCTCCACTGAACTGTACTCAATAATTCTGATGCCTCAATTCTTCAGTTCAACTCCTCTGCTCCAAAAGTCATATCCTGGCAGGCTGGCTTCTCGAAACTCAATTGACTTGCTGCCATTTGTTCTCAATCATCATCGACTGCCATCTCAAGAGACTCCCTCAATTCTCCTCTCAGCCGCCTGAGATCTAGCCCGAGTACGTGCCTGTCGCTTGTAATAACCTCAATCCGGCAGATTTTAATAAATGGAAAATATTCGAAGAAAATTTGGAAGTTTATGCTACAATACACATATTCAGTCCGATTTTCCGCATAATTACTATTCAATTTCGAAACGTTTAAATTTCAGAATATTTTATTCCAAACGGCACCATCTCAAGAGTGTTATTCTTGTTAACGTTTTCAAGGACAAAATTAACTATTGTTTTATTACGGATGTATTTGTTTCTATGTTTCCAATAAGCAAATTAGGGCCTTTTCCACATATAAGCAATACTTCTAGACTTAATCCTTCATCTACGTGCCTCACAGCTACACACAGCATCTGCTGATTTCTAGATGTTCGTATTAGAATCGCGTAGAGGACACTGTTCCTGGTACTATCTTAGCTCATATCATGCATTAGCATCTTAACACGTTCTTTTCCCTGTGTTAGTGTTTAGATTTTTCATTTAATTTTTAGTCTAGTTTATAATCATATGCACATTTATAGTGCTCGCCTCTTTTAGTATTACATGCTGTTGGCAAACCTTTGAATAACGGAATCTAATTGAATTATTTTCATCTGGTGGAATAAATTATAATCAATTAGCTTGCAGATATTGTGATGAAAGCTTTCGAAGCTGAAATTTAATACTTTCAATTTTAGAATCTCTAAGTATAAAAATGCAAATATATTATAGAAAATGCGTTTATCTATAAAGTTTACCTAATTGTTTTCCCATATATGAAAAATCGAGTTCATAAATAAGATTAAGGTATAATTTTTAATGGGGAAACTTATAGTATAAAGTTTCAAGAATATCTGAGGTTTGTACCAACTAAAGAAATATCGAGTTCAGTGTAACCGCGTAAGAGTTATTTTTATGAAATTTGGCCACAAAAATTAATAATTTTATACATATACGGATTTCCACTGGAATCAGTCATCACTTTTGCGTGTTCATGCCACATGAGACCGCCACTGTAAATGTTACTCTATGTAGCGTTATGAGGAGAGATGAAGACACTTTGACAGAAATTAAAATAGTTTTACACAAGTAATCGTAGTACACGATAGTACACGTGGTAAAGAGAAGCAGCGGCAC